AATTCGCACGTCCAATTTTGTATAGATGTGCTCGTAATCCTGTGTGTCCACTGAGAATACGTACCATCATACTAACCTCAGACTTGCTCATTTTGAGAAGATTTCTCGTCTTGCTCTCATCAGGGTCACCCCATAGAATCTTTGTGGTTCTACCCACCGTTTCATTATTCCAAGAGGCCTTATGGGATTCTCTCATCCATATTTTTAATTCAGCTTTTGTTGCGTCGAATGGTTTTGCGTTTGTCAGGTTAACTACATCGAGCTCCCTTCCCTTTAAAGCTATTACATTCGCCCTTTCGTTGCCGATTACTCCCGAGTGGCCTGGTACCCATATGATGTGAACCTTACCTCTGGGAGAGTATTCAGTTAAAGCTTTCTTACAATCCAATACGGTCTTAGATTTAATTCTATCACCTGATATCGCACAAATTGCCTTCTGGCTGTCGGTAAATATATTAAGCCCTGTGGGCGCCATATTTATTCTAATCCAATTTACACATTCCGTTATTGCTCGTACTTCTGCCTGGAAGCTTGTGTTATGATTAGGTAAACGGTGGTATATTTCTGTTTCTGGGTCTTCAATATAGAACCCCAGACCCACTTTGTCCCCTAATTTAGAGCCATCCGTGTAGCAACGGATTCCTACTGGTATTTGCTCTAATGTTCCGCTTGACCAAGACATTCTATCTGGGATTAGCGTTTCAAAGTTTCCGACATATTCAGTGTCTGGTATGCGATCAGGCACGTCCGATGAATGTGTATAACCTTCCAATGTGTCCAGTATACATTGATGACGTGTCCTATAACCGTTTTTGGCCAGTTCGCCTAAAGTAAAGAGCCGTTCGGCTGTAAGCGCCGCCTCATATCTTATATATGTTTCAATGGGTGGAATATCTAGCAACGTTTCCAGAGCCTTGGTTGAAGTAGTACACATGGCACCACTTATACCCAAGCAGCATGTACGCTGAACTCCCTGTAGTAGTTTGATATTACACTTTTTGTCCAAAGCAGTCCACCAGATTATTGAAGCATAAGCTAGAATTGGTCTAATTACACTTTTATAAAGCCAATTTGTCATAGTAGGACTAAGACCCCATTTCATGCCTATGGTTCTCCTACATATCGCCCAGCACCGATGTGCCTTGTTGATCCTATCCTCTATGTGGTGTCTCCATTTTAATTTCCGGTCAAGTATTACACCTAAGTACTTAACTTTGTCTGTCACCGGTATCTTCTTGCCCAAGAAGCAAGGTTCAGTATATGTAGAAATTTTTGTCTTTCTTGTGAAAAGACAGATTTCCGTCTTCGCCGGGTTAACATTGAGGCCTCTCGGTTGAGCCCAGCTCAAGGCCGTATTCAGAGCCTCCTCAGCTCTTCTACACAAGTAATTTGGATCCTTTCCCTTTAAAAGTATTACGACATCGTCTGCATAGCAGACAGGTCTAAGTCCTTTCTCGGTTAGGGTCCTTAGGAGGCTATTAATCGTGGTGACCCAGAGTAAAGGTGACAAAATGCCACCCTGTGGTATACCGCGAAATACCTTTTTCCTGATAGTTATATCGTACATCTCGCAGCTTATCCATCTGTTCCTTAGCATGTAGTTGATCCAGTTACGGAGCACCCGGTCAACATAAAACTGGTCTAGGGATTGGATAAGGGTATCAGTGTGCACGTTATTGAAAGCGCCTTCGATGTCAATGCATACTGCCAGTGTATACAGTTTGCTATCGAAAGATTCACCTATGTAGTGGACAACTTCATTTAAAGCGGTTTCCACCGATCGTCCCTTTACATAAGCATGCTGCTTATATTTAAGGTCATTGTATGGTATGCTGCTTTTAACCATGCTATCGACTATCCGTTCCAAGGTTTTAAGTAGGAAGGACGTAAGACTTATCGGTCGATAAGACTTAGGTGTCGCATAGCTAGGTTTCCCTGGTTTGGGTATAAATATTACCCTTGCATCCTGCCATTTAACTGGGGTATATGCCAATTTTAAGCATGCAGTGAATATCTGTGACAGATGTACGGAAACCAGTCCCGCCTCCATCTGCAAAAGTGCCGGGAAAATTCCATCCGGCCCTGCAGCTTTATAGGGAGCAAAGCTCTTGATTGCCCCTTTCATACATACGTATATAAAATTCTAACGTTACTGACTGACTGACTGACTGATTCATCATCGTAGAGCCCAGAGCCTTGAAGCTAAAGAGCTGAAATTTGGGCAGGAGGTTGGTCTCCCACCAAATGTATCCAATAAGACGGGATTTTTGGAAATTTGACTTTTTTGACTTAGAACTTAGAAACGTGTAATTAAGCACTTGAGAATCTATAAAAGTGGACTTTTTGGTACTTTTTCGTTCTTCAAAAGGTACTTTTTGAGTTTTCTATTAAATTGAACATAGAAACATGAAATTATGCACGTAGAGCCTGGAGTAAATGTGAATCTATAAAATGGCACTTTTTGGTACTTTTTCGTTCTTTGACTGGTACTTTTTGAGCTTGCTACAAAATTTGAACCTCGAAACATGAAATTAAGCACTTAGAGCCTGGAGTAAATGAGAATCTATAAAATGGGAACTTTATCGTACTTCGACTGGTACTTTTTGAGTTTTCCATAAAATTAAACCTAGAAACATAAAAATAAATATGTAGAGCCCGGAGTAAATTATAATCTATAAAAAGGGACTTTTTAGTACTTTTTCGTCCTTCGACTGGTACTTTTTGAATTTTTTATAATATTGAACCTAGAAACATGAAATTAAGAATGTACAGCCCGGATTAAGTGATAACATATAAAAGGGGACTTTTTGGTACTTTTTCGTTCTTCGACTGGTACTTTTTGAATTTTTTATAATATTGAACCTAGAAACATGAAATTAGGAATGTACAGCCCGGATTAAGTGATAACATATAAAAGGGAACTTTTTGGTACTTTTTCGTTCTTCAAAAGGTATTTTTTGAATTTTCTATAATATTGAACCTATAGACATAAAATTAAACCTGTAGGGCATGTAGTAAGTGAGAACATATAAAACGGGACTTTTTGGAACTTTTTCGTTCTTCAACTGGTTCTATTTGAATTTTCTATTATAATGAACTTAAAAACATAAAACTAAGCAATCAGAGACTTGAGTGAATGAAAATTTAAAATGTAGTATTTCTGGTAATTTTTCGTTCTCTAACTGGTACTTTTTGAATTTTCTAAAATATTGAATATATAAACATAAAATTAAACACGCAGTATCCTAATTGAACGAAAATTTATCTCGCTTACATCCATTTTGCAAAAAGGGCTCGATATCAATCGAAATCTCTATAGGCCATAATTGACCCTGCCCCTTCAATAATTGATTTTAACGTTTTCTATGTACTTAAAAATACCATAATAAAACAATTTTTGTTGGAACGAAAATATGTAATGTAAATACATATGTATATGAAATCTTCTTCAGAAAATGACTTAAACGCACATAAATGGCTTTCAAATGTCGATGTCTACGAAAATAACATTTTTAGGAACCGAAACCTACATTTATGAAAAATAAATTATGAGGATCGGTTCGCCAATATAACCCTCTTACAGAAATCAGTTTATAGCTAAAACATCATTCCAAAAGTTATCATTATGATAGAAATTATGGTATAATAAAAGCAATACTTTAAATTATAGAGAACTTTGTCCATAATTGATCCAATTCCACATTTAAGCCCCTTAATCCGAAATCACGGTGACGTTCTTATAAGCTAATTGATCAAAGTCCATATATATATATAGTAGAGATAATAGATTATATAGACTAGATATAGATATATATATGATAATATCTATAGTATATATATATATATAATATATATATATATATATATATATATAGATTATAGAATATATATATACTATATGTATATATATCTATATAGATATATATATATATATTATATATATATATATATAATATATATATATATATTAATATATATATATATATATATATATATATATATATATAGTTATCTATATATATATTATATATATTATATATATATATATATAGTATCTGACCACTTCCGAAATTTGCTTTTTTACGACATATGATTTACCGAATATAACTCTTATTTTCTCCATAAATTACCGCTAAAATAGGAATAGTCTGCCTTTAGAGTTGCGAGTTTTCATACACTCTAATAATGTTTTCAAAGTAAAACTTTTGGAATATTTTTCAATCTCTTTGTGATCCCTTTAAATGATGTTGTTCTGAATGAACTTTAACATCCATGTAAACATTTTGGGTAATAAATTGGGGGACTACCAATGAGGGGAGCGGAACCTCCCATATGAATTAAATACAAAAATTCGTTTATCTGGGAAACTAATAGAATTAAATTCTTAAAATTTTGCACGAAGAACTTTAATATTCATCTGACTTTCATCTGGGGGGCTTGGAGCTCCCATATGAATTAAATAGAAAAATTCGTATATCTGAGAAACTATTAGAGCTAGAATCTTCAAATTTTACTGAAGAACATTTAGAGAATAACGGGCGGACTTTCAATGGGGGGCTTGGCACTTCCCATATGAATTAAATACAAAATTTTTGTATATCTGGGAAGCTATTAGATTATTCAAATTTTCCATAGATTAACTTAAAATCTTAATTAACGTTCGGAATAATTGGCGAAATTGCAATAATTTGCGTGGAATCTCCCATATGTAACAAATTGTATATCTGGATCCTAGTAAAACTTGGAGAAAGGATTTGTTTTTAATTTTTAAGAATTTTTTATTCATCCCTGCATAATTTCTCACACAACTTATGAGCTTGCTCTGTTTTGTTGTTATAAACAATATATTCTCCAAAATCCCACTTTCTGATCTCTCGGATTCCGTTTTTATTTAAAATCGTAGAAAAATTAAAAACTAATGGTAGTTGAAAACTTAGCCGGCTTACAGACGATTTTAAGCCGCCGCCGACATATTTAGTGTCAGTCGCCGACGCCGTTAATATTTGTCGGCACAGGGCTCTGCTGTGCATTTACTTCCATCGAATCTCATTCATATCATAAATATTTTTTCAACTAAAATATAAATGAATAAATGAAACAACTTCAATAATATGTTCAAAATAAAAAATATTTATGAAGAAAGTGTAAACAGAAAATATACAATTGATTTGTTTAAATTTAAAGAAAAATATATTAACTGGAATTTTGCAACTTTATACATGATGACCATGTAGTTTAGAAAAATCAATGCAGTTGTCATCATCACTTTTTGACTACTAATGGCAATGTTATTGTATGCTTAATACTTCAGTCAGTCTGGAGGAGTATCTTCAAGTATTAACAATTTTTAAGTTTTGTCATGAATTTTGGTATAACACAAATTGCTACTACCACTACTTATACTAATACCAATAATACTGTAACTACAACGGCGACATTAGCATCTGTTAGCACAGCAACTGTCTCCGATAGCATTAGCAAAGATACCGCAACTTTTGCACCGACAAGAACAGAAACTCAAATATCTAGTAACGTCTCCGACAATATCGGCAAACAAGACTCTACTAGTAATTCAATAAATCCTTCGAAATCATTTACAACTCCGCAAAACTGCTTAGAAATCTTAACGTCAATACAAAATAAAACAGTTCCTAGCGATTGTGCATCTACTACTAATTCTTTTTCCACGGCTTCTTCCAATAACTCATCGCTAATCTTGCCGACCTCTTCGTCTTCATCATTATTAACATCTTCGAGTGCAACAAGATCACCTTTGGAAGCATTAGGTGGTATACAGTCGATGTAAGTAAATATTCTTATACATGCCTACATACATATGTATGTATATGTACATACATATGTACATATTTTATAAACAGTATTCAATGTAATTGTACTATGTGCCTAATTTTTTCAACAAAATCTTTCCATTAAATCTTTTACTATGTAATCTTTCTATTAAGTTAATAGTATTAACATTATGTCCATAAATGAAACAAATTACGTAAAAATACACTTCAAACCCGTATATAACATCATACATTTTGTAACTTGGTTGGAAGTTTTACAAAGATTCCAGCCAATATGTTCCAGCTAATGGCCACCATTAGCCGCAAAATAGGCCTATGAATAAAGGAGATATGAGCAAAAATCTGAGACAACCTCTGAAAATTTGATCAAAAAATAAGAATTTTTGTTCATGCTTTGGCAAAAATAAAAAAACACCAACAATAACGTACTGCTTTATATGTTAAGTGTTGTTCTTGTGTATAAAGCTGTATGTTGTTATTGCCAAAATTTGGGATGAGAATTTGTGCAGGGATGGAAAAAAATAAAAGCAAACATACATACATATGTATATTTAAAAAAAAATAATATTAAAATTTAATCTTTAAAATTTAAAAATACATATCGTCATATGAAAGTTGAAAAAAAATCAACATCGATCAAAATACATGTTCCTGCTAAATGTTACACTCCTACAATTAAAATCAATGTCCCTATCAAAGAAATTCTAAGACCGGGTTTTTGAGTTGGCAATCAAATGGCAATTAATAATTAGATTAGTTAATCTAAAAATAAATTTAATCCAATGTTAATACCAAAGTATAACGTTAATACCATTTGATGTTTTTGAGTACAAGATTAAACTTCGCAGTGTTGCCATACAAAACAACAGAAAATGTCACTGTTTGTTATCAAAACAATGCATATTTTATAAAAAAGAAGAAGACAATTGTAAATTTAATATGAAAATTAATGAAGACTTAAATTAAAAACAAAAAAATGTATTTTGAAGTGTCCATAATTTATACTAATCAATAAATAGAACATTTTAATATTTATATTTATAAAAATTTTATTAATTTGTTTGCATCAGCTGTTTACACTTTTGCATTTCGTGCTTAAGATTAAACCACCTCCATTAGGCGCTTAAACTTACAAACAAAATTAACTAATTGAGTACTCAAAAACATCTTTCGAGGATTAATTTTAATTTAATCGCTAATCTTTCACCTAAAGATTGGCTCTAAAAGGTTATGTTCTAAAATTACCTTAAAATTCATGAAAATTTTCAAATTCTTTTGAATTTTTAACTTCGAAGCTGTGAAATGTTATAAGTTGGCATCAAATGAAACAAAAATGCCACTTTTAACGAATCCTTGTAATTTATAGATTATTTTAACAGTTTTAGAATTTTTTCAAAGAAAAATTCCAATTCCCGAAAACCTTTATGAAAACAAAGAAGCCTTATGCCTTCCATGTTTTGGCCTATTTGACCAACAAAAACCGATTTAAATTTAGTTGAAAATGTTAAAACTTAGTATTTTTTAATGTAACTTACGCCCTTTTGGGTTTCAGAAAAAAACAAATTCTCAAGGGCGTAAGTTTCATATCTCCGTAAGTTAAACAAAAACTGCAAATTTTTCTTGAAATAATAGTTTGTCAATAAGAAATAAGCTTAACTTGAGAAAATGTTGAACATTTTTGGTTTATTTATCATTTTAGACGGTTTTTTGCTTCTCCCGAAAAATTTGTTGAATGTAACTTAGGGCTTTTTGGATTTCATATGACGATATATAAAAAACTACCGCTCCGAAAGCAGTTTATAAAATGATCTTTTTTTAATTATTTTAATTATTTTCATAAAAATGAATACCATTATCTAAAATATGCAATATTATAGCGATTTATTAAAAACACAAAAACAAGGTTGTGAAGAACAATTTTCTGTTTAAGATAATGTAATAAAAAAAGCAAAACTGTTGCCAAAAATACTTATTTTTCTCATCTTAAAAAATATATAATTATACAAAACTTCATCTCTTTTGGTGCGGTAACTTTTTTAATGAAGGAATAACATGCATATTAAAAAGATCGAAATTTTAGATGGATTTCCATATGGTTAAACTTTTCATTTAAAATTAACTTTGGACTGAATTTTTGCAACGTAAACATGTTAACATAATAATTTCTGTAATGTAGTCTTTGTATCGTCAATACACATTTTGCTGATGCTTCTATAGCACGTTGCTGTCAAACTACAGGTCACAATTTTCAAGATAAAAAATGTTCTGACTTAAGAACTAAACATATTCTAGCTAGTTGAATTTTCTCCATTATTTCATTTAACCCCACAACGTCAATTCCTCCAATTTGAATACTTAAATAAGTTTGTTCGGTCAATAATGTATCTCCCAAACATTACAACAAAAATCATATTCTACTCATAACTGGTTAGAAAATCATATGGCCGGCATTACATACTATATTGTCATTCCTGTTTTCATTTTAAAATCGGTAGACGAAACCAATAATATGCTTAAGAATTTTAAATTTTCTTGATATTTCTTAATCTATACCCAGCAAAAAAAGTGTGGAAAAAGATGTAGAATTTTCATCACAACTAGTAACCCGAAGTGCTTCAAATTCAGGTGAAAAACCTATGAATTTTACATTAGCGTGTCATTGGAAGGATGTTGTTCATTTTTGACAACTTTGAACTACATCTAATCTTATCTTTAGAAGCTGTAAAAATCCGATATATGTCAAAAATAAACCACGCTTATGTAAATTTCATTGGTTTTTCATCAAAATTTGAAGTAATTCGAATATGTTGTTTGTGGTGACTTTTCTACATCTCTTTCCTCATTTTTAACTGTGTTTTCATTTGTAAGGATATGTTTGGTTTATAAAAGCGAAAAGTATGCAATCGCATTTTTAGATGTGATTAAGATGTCGTTTGTAAAGTATGACATAAATTATTTTTTGCTGGGTATATATAAAATTCTAACGTTACTGACTGACTGACTGATTCATCATCGCACAGCCTAAACGGTTAAAGCTAAAGAGCTGAAATTTGGACAGGAGGTTGGTCTCCCACCAAACAGATCCACTAAGACGGGATTTTTGGAAATTCGTATGTTTAGGGGGTAAAAAGGGTAAAAACGGGTAAATTCGGTAACCTCATATCTCCTAAACTAAACAAGATACAAAAACAGTTTAAAGCATATCGTAGTTCATTTAAAAAATTATTGGACAGGTGTCTGGTACTTTTTTCAAATTCGGCCCCTTTAGGGAATAAACGGGTAAAAACTGTATTTTGGTACTTTCTTCGCACCCCATGTATCTTTTAAACCAGTGAACGTTCAAAAAATATTTTTGACTCCTTCATAACTTAACGAAAAAATATAAATATAAATTTAGTACTTTTTGGATTCGTTCGTTTAAGGGGTTAAAATTGTACCTATTTTTGGTACTTTTTTCATAAAACATTGTTTTTGGTTTATTAACTTATACATATGAATACATAATAACGGGCTCCCACTACGATGTTGCAACTTTTTGGAATAGAATTTTTATTTCGTTAATGGGGAGAAAAAAAGTACCAAAAGGGGTAAAAACGGGAAATTTGATTTTATTCAAACACAATGATCCAATTAAGATAAAATGTTTAAACTTAGAAACACTAAATACCTAATGGGATGTTATTTGGAACCCCGGTACCAAGTGATATTTTTTGGTACTTTTTCATTCTCCAACTGGTACTTTTTGAGTTTTCTATGATATTGAAATAGAAACATAAAATTATTAATAAAGGGACTTTTCGCTACTTTTTCGTTCTACATAGGTACTTTTTTGAGTTTTCTTTAAAATTAACCCTAGAAACATTAAATTAAGCATGTAGAGCCCGGAGTAAATGAGAATCTATAAAAGGGGACTTTTTCGTACTTTTTCGTCCTTCGACTGGTACTTTTTGAGTTTTCTATAAAATTTAACTTAGAAACATGAAATTAATAATGTGGAGCGCGTAGTAAATGAGAATCTATAAAAGGGGACTTTTTGGTACTTTTTCGTTCTTCAAAAGGTACTTTATGAATTTTCTATAAAATTGAAAATAGAAACATGAAAGTGCATGTAGAGCCTGGATTAAGTGAGAAACTATATAAGGGGACTTTTTGGTACTATTTTGTTCTTCAAAAGGTACTTTTTGAATTTTCTATAATATTGAACCTAGAAACATGAAATTAAACATGTAGAGCCCGGATTAAGTGAGGACCTATAAAAGGGGACTTTTTGGTACTTTTTCGTTCTTCAAAAGGTACTTTTTGAATTTTCTATAATATTGAACCTAGAAACATACTTTTTGTGTTTTTTATAACATGAAATTAACCATGTGGAGCCCGGAGTTAATGAGAATCTATAAAAGGGTACCCTTTGGTAATTTTTCGTTCTTCAACTGGTACTTTTTGAATTTTCTATAATATCGAACTTAGGAACATGAAATTAAATAAAAGAGGTCTTTTGTTACTTTTTCGTACTTCATTGGTACTTTTTGAGTTTTCTAAAATATTGAATATATAAACATAAATTTAAATAGGGGACTTTTTGATATTGCAGATATATATACATTTACAATAATATTTATTTTATTCCATTACGATGAGGGTAGCGAAGCACACTGGGTATAGCTAGTTTTTCATATTTTCCTTTCATTCTTAAAATGTACATAAACAGTGCAATAACAAATTGTACCGACATATTTTTCGAAGCTACTTGAAATACTAAACAAGGTTTTTTATTATTTAATCATCTATAAAAATGTTGCTGCTTAAGTATTTTATATTTATAATGTAAAAATATTTAATAGAGATTTTATTGTTGATACGATTTATTTAGAGTAATACCGATTAACACTTATTTATTTGTTATTTAAATTGTTTGTATTTGTTATTCGTATTTTTGTTTATTAACGTTAATTTTTTGAATCTTTATTTTATTAAATACATATTTATTTTTATAAAATTTTTATTTTTATGGAATTTTAATTTTTGCCTGTGATCGTGCAAACACATCCATACATCAATGTAGAAATAACGAAAACTCTTCAGTTCACATGGATGGAAATGAAGAAATAAATATTTGTTTTTATTTCGAAAGGTATGTTAAAAATATTACTCCCATTCTCAATAGTAATGGAATGAATAATTATGTTAATATCTTTAAGAATAAAGGTATTATAACATGTAATTATACATATAACCCAACATTATTATAAGACGGATTTTAAATTTGAATTTGGTTGAGTGAACAATTTTTTCTCAATTTCATAATAAATGCATATTTCTAAAAAGTCGCAACAGCACTTTAGTTCCAAATCAAATTCTAGGTGAACAAAATTAAAAAGCTTTTATATTCTGAATTTGGACAAATACAGTTTTTTTCGATAACCAACAAACTGCTCTCCTCCAATAAAAAAGGGGGTTTCAAATGGGGGTTTCGTGTTCATGGAACCGGGTTGTTCCGGAGCGGAGATCCAATACGCTTGAGAACACTTCATTAGTAAAGAATAATGCTAATGTAGTAAAAATTAAGTATGATTTAAAGAAAATTATTTGTTTATACGCTCTTCTAGCATCAATGGATGGATTGAAAATATAAGTTTCCCATTCCGTGTGTAACATCCAGAAATTTTGCCTGAGATCCGACCGAGCTGGTTTAGGTATGTCCGCTTGCCTGTCTGTCTAAAACATGCTCACGTTAAAATAAAGCAATGTATGGAAATTCAACTAATATATTCATTATATTCCTAAGCAGTTCGTTATTAAAAATAAACAAAATCGATCAACCAGTTATGAGTAATTTTATTCTTCTGATATTACTGCAGATAATGCAATAATTGTTTCATTCAAAGATGAACTCTGTGGAAAATCAATAATCGGTCCAAAATATCATATATCTCTCGTCTCGTGCATTTTTTTAATATATTTTTCGACATAAATGATAAGCCAAAAGAAATTATTATTCATTTCAAATCATTCTGAAAAATTATTTTAGGATCGCTCATAATTGATCATAGCACTCATCGATTTTAATACACTAATAATACACATATACATAATTACTACTAAAATACCGTTACCGAAATAATCCAATTTGCTAAAATACTGCTATTTTATCATAATTTTAAAATTATGCTTATAACCACTATTTTTAAAATTGATTTTGTGATTCCATTTGCAACTCGTTGAATTATACGGGGTTTTATTGCCTTAATATTATTGAGGCAGGGGGTGCGTCATAATGTCATTTGTAACGACACACCAGAAAAGTGTTATAGTGTTCATGGGCTTTACTTTTTTAAAATGCAACTTACACCAAAGTTGGGAGCAATTCTATCCGGGATTTATTTTAAAAGTCATAAAGTTTATGATTATTCTCATACTTTTTGGTACGTCGTAACGTCTATGGATATTATAATGTGCCACCATTAAGGCGACTGTTAGAAATGCCGATCGTAATGTAAATTTAATAAAAAAAATTCAGGATCATGATCATACTTCCAATGATATACAATAACTTAATATATTATTGTCCAATTCTTAATCGGTGTTGTATGGTTGTATCGTAGTATGTCGTAATTTTATTATTATTGTTTTTATTTTTGTTTCAAAAAATTTTATTTAAACAATTTTTATGACATACGACGGTACGACACCGATTGTGAAATGGACATATACGTTTGTTATTATGTTTAACGTTTTAATATAAATATTATTGCAACTTTTTCAGGAAACTTCTCTTGCCAGAGGATTTGACAAAACAAATCAATTCGACGCTTTCAGACAATTCGACTAATATTGAAAATACAATAAAATCTACATTTTCCTCAATTTCTAATAGTATAACTGGTACTGTTACCACATTGAAAAATGATAATTTGACAACTCAACCTGATTTGAGTCAATCTAGAGAATCTTTAAAATTACAAACAGAGCGAAATATTTGCAGTAATATTGAGGAAAGTATTGAATTAGATGACAAATTAAATGATTTAAGCCTCAGCGAAAGTAAGATATCAATTAATTCAGCTAACATATTACGTTGTGATGAGGTAAGTAAACATTTTGTCTATTCTAGTTCTTGTCAGATTGATAGGTTTTAATCAGTAATAGTCGGAATTATTCAGAAAAATAACAAAAGCAAAGCATTTTAAGATTCTTAATACGACAACAATATACAGACATATGTACATAATTATTGTTAAATCTAGCAAGAATAGAACTACTGAAAAACAAAAACAACTTAAAACAAGTTAGAGTGCTATATTTGACTATGACGAATCTTAAATACCCTTCACCATAAATTTGTTGAATAAATTTTCTTATATGAATAAATTATGTTCAATAACTTTTAATAATGCCTTAAAGTATGCTTTGAAATGTAATACTATTATACAAAATACGGAAATGTTACATTTAACATAGTTCTTCCTTGTATGAGTAAACGCATACCTTCCAAGAATCATCAAATAATCTTCTGTAGTTTTTGTAAAAACAGTGGAAGAAAATCGGAAATCATATTTTTCGAGGTTTTTCAAATTTTTGTTCATAATTTCTCACGTAGTAAGACCGTATGTATATTCATCATTAATTTAGTATATTGCTTCGTTTTTACGTGATCGTCGGACATACATAGTTAAGAATATACAGTGGTGGACACGATTTTAGCACACTTGGTATATGTTGCATATAACATCAAATATATTTTATAGTTCTTAACTTTTTTAACAAATCCTTTTTTATGCGTAACCATGTTCTTCGAGGATCACGACACTATACATTTTGTTGCATATAGATTATTTTCTATCCAAAGTACACCACTTAAAAAATCTGGACATAATTTTAGCACAAAATAAGAAAATCATTAAAAACTTAAAAATAAAACAAAACAACCGGCTATATTTATCTAATTTCACTTAAAATTTTATATTTTGTAGAATAGTTGCAGATTTTGATAATTTTTCTTTTCCTGGACATATTCTTCACCAGAATCCTCTACAAATTTCATGACATAAATTTTAACTTTCAGGCCATAAATTGGCAAAATTCTTGGGGCGTTCTGCTTTCATTTGTTGGTCATATCATTTTATATGTTCTCTATTGAATTGGAATCGAGAAATTATACTGGGCACTGCACACATGTCAATTCCGCTTGCTTCCAAGCAGCTCATCTCAGCACTTTTAGCATATTTACGGTCGTTATCGCCAAAAAAACGCTATTTAACTGAATCGTTGTCATCTGAATTTTTAATAAAGTATTTAAGAGCCTATTTTGATAGTCATATGGATCCATTTCTGCATCCAAAATCAATATAGTACCAACAGCACGCCAAGAAAATGCAATGATATATGATTTCTCTGTGATATATGATTTCCCTGGAACACCTTAGCTTTATCTGCATGATTGGAGAATACTAGTTGAAGCTTAATAGGATCAAATTTGATAGAAAATGTATTTATGCTGTACTCCAAACACAAAAATAAAACACAATGGGTGAAATATGAAGAATTCGGTGGCATTTTCCGGGCGTAGTGGAGGTTGTATATGCATGGTGGATGCACAAATGGATCAGTATGACTATCAAAATATGCTCTTAAATATTTTAGTAGAATAATTAGAGGACAAAAGTTCAGTTAAATAGCGTTTTTTGGTCGACAACGATCCAAAATGTGTTAAAAGTACAGAGAGGAGCATCTTGGAAGCGATCGGGATTGACATGTTTGCAGTGCCCAGAATAATTTCTAGATGCCAACAAGTAAAAACTTTGCCTATTTATGGGCTGAAAGTTAAAATTTATGTCATGAAATTTCTACTGGGTTCTGGTGAAGATTATGTCCAGGAGAAGAAATTATATTATCAAAATGTGTATTCTACAAAATATAAAATTTTAAGTGAAATTAGATAAATTTATCCGGTTGTTTTGCTTTTTTTTAATTTTTTAATGATTTTTTTTATTTTGTTCTAAATTTATGTCCATATTTTTGTAGGGGTAGAAAGAAAGAAAAAAATCTATGCGCAACAATAAAATATGGAACAAAATATAATGTGCCATGAACCTCGCAAAACATGTGTTACGCATAAAAGAGAATTTGATAAAAAAGTGAAGAACTATAGGAAATATTTGATTTTATATTTAACAGATACCAAATGTGCTAACCTCCGCCACTGTATGTATATATTTTGATGAATCAAAACAAGTAAGAAATTATAGTCGGGCGACGCCGACCATATAATACCCTACACCTTTGACAAAAATATAATGTGATTTAGTTGCCATAATAAAGCATTTAAGTTGAATTGTACCTTGCCTTAGATATACATACTTAAGCCGTTTATTGTTGAATAAAATTGTGGACATTTAAGTGAAATTTTGATGGGGGCTTTTCATAGGGGCTAGGGTCATATGAGAACTTATTATTATAAAATTCGTGGGGGTCATCAAGTCTTGTATACAACTTGGTTATTGCAGCTTTTTGTCGAGATATGAGTATATTAAATATAATTATGAACTTAAAAGCCCTATTCGGTGGGTTCAGTTGTATGGGGGCTAGGTGAAATAATGGACCGATGTAAACCATTTTCAACAGGCTTCATCTATGGTACCATAAAAGATCATGTGCCAAATTTCATTGAATTATCTCCAAAATTGCGACCTGTAGTTTGATTACAAGTTTTAAAAGCCCTATTTGGGGGTTCAGTTGTATGGGGGCTAGGTGAAATAATGGACCGATGGTAACCATTTTCAATAGACTTCGTCTACGGTACCATAAAATACATGTGCCAAATTTCATTGGATTATATCCAAAATTGTGACCTGTAGTTTGATTACAAAGTTTAAAAGCCCTATTCGGGGGTTCAGTTGTATGGGGGCTAGGTGAAATAATGGATCGATGTTAACCATTTTCAATAGGCTTCGTCTACGATACCATAAAAGATCATGTGCCAAATTTCATTGAATTATCTCCAAAATTGCGACCTGTAGTTTGATTACAAGTTTTAAAAGCCCTATTCGAGGGGTTCAGTTGTATGGGGGCTAGGTGAAATAATGGACCGATGTTAACCATTTTCAATAGGCTTCGTCCCTGGGAAAATAGAAGATCATGTACCAAATTTCATTGAATTATCTTCAAAATTGCGACCTGTAGTTTGATTACAAGGATTACAAGCCCTATTGGGGGTTCAGTTGTATGGGGCTAGGTGAAATAATGGACCGATCTTAACCATTTTCAATAGGCTTCGTCCCTGGGACAATAGAAGATCATGTACCAAATTTCATTGAATTATCTTCAAAATTGCGACCTGTAGTTTGATTACAAGGTTTACATGGACGGACGGACAGACGGACGGACATAGCTAAATCAACTCAGAAAATGATTCTGAGCCGATTGGTATACTTTAAGGTGGGTATAGGACCAATATTATTGTGCGTTACAAACATCAGCACAAACTCAATATACCCTCCCCACTAAAGTGGTGTAGGGTAAATGACAAACTTGTATGGACAATTTCGTGTCAAGTGACCCAACTTAAAAAATCGATTTGGATGAAATTTCACTATTGAACTATTGGACAGTAGGCCAGACACAAATTTTCAGCTCTATTGGTCCCAGAAAAATTTTTTTAAATATATTTTAATTTGTGTTTTAAATAAAAAAATTCAAAAAATTTAAATTTTTGCTCAAAAGAAAGTTTATATAATTTCCTTTAAGGGCTTTATAGTGGCTTAATAAGATGCGAGTATCCCACTCTATCAAAAAAAGAGCTTTGTGGTCACTTAGTGGGATGCAAGAGGTATACATTAATATAAAAAAATATACATGTGGAATATGATAATAAATTTTAAACAGTTATCTTTGCCTAGTATTACAAGACATTTTATTTCTACAAGTAATTTCTTATATGTGTATATAATAGGAAAACTTTGTACATTTTTGTATACGATTTGTTACGATTCGAGTCAATGAGACTTCATAAGTTTGTATTCATGTACATATATACCTGTTGTATGTCGTTTTATTAATGTGTTTATTCACATGTCTTATGGTGCGATCAATTAGGTTGAACTCATATTTCAACAACTAGCGAAAAAGCTCTAAACATATTTGATTAGAAACCCCTTACCAAAAAGCTCACCATTGATGAAAAGCTTTCATTGATAACAGCTTGCTCTACAAACACTGTACAATAACAAAATGTGTGTTTGTGCTACTTCCATGCTAAACATGCTTTAGTACGGCCAATGCCATTTAAACCAGTAACATCTTAAAACTAGCTGCAAGCAATCATTTTGGCTAACACATATTCACGATATTATTTTTTCAGAATAATTCCATTATGAAACTATAAAAAAAGCAAAAAATAAATAAATAGAAGTAAATAAATAAAAAGTCCATACAAGTTCTTCATTATCGTCGTTATTTGATAGTGTTTGATAAGAACAATTAATCTGACAATAATGAGTAATACTTATTTGTTGTTTTTATACATACATATGTATGTACAATATATTACGGGTTTACCCATGAGATGACACTCTAAATAGTAAACTAAATAAATGTTTGTTATTAAAATATGTATCTATTTTTCGTTTTATTTTAGGACTCATTAAGCAAATCTAGTGAAAACTCTGGAGATTTATTGAGAAACCTCTATTCGTCTGATTGTATTGATAAAATAAAAAACGTTACACGTTTGTCAGAACGTGCTAAAAAGAAATCGTGGTATAACGTGTTGTATCCTAATTATAAATCACGTTCACAGGATTTTAAGAAATTATTTAAGGAAGTGCCAAATGATGAACGCTTGATTGTTGGTAAGTCAATAAATAATAAATTGTGGATTTCAAAGAGATCTTTGTGGAATATATAATAAACAAATGTTTCTTCTTACCTCTAAAGATTTCATTGAAAGTAAGGTATATTTCTGACTACAATTGACTGTAGACAAAGATGTTTACGGATTCGTTGTATTCAAAGAAATAGCGTATTTTATGAATTTAACTTGAATTCTCTCAATGCATTTATTATGTATTGAGAACTAAGATTCCCTATAAAGCATGCTCCTATTTAGACCTAAAAAATTTTACGAACAGTATGTTTTGTTATAATGATCGAAATATTCAGACTGACGACATTTTCTTTTCCCGGACTATTTCATTTCCCGGGAAAACGGGATTCATTTTAAAATTTCCCGGTATCAAATATAATAGTATCTCACAAAAACGGCAAAATTCAGGAATTTGTCAATAAATTAGTAATTTATTTTCTAGTTTTTAGTACCTTTTAATATATCCTCTCTGAATTTAACATTTATTGTAAACAAAATTTTTTTATATAAAATATATTTGTCCAATTCACAATACGGTTGTATCGTCGCATGTCGCAATTTTTTATTATTGATTTCTTTTTGTTTAAAAAAATTTTATTTTTATGACATCGATTGTGAATTGGACCATTGCACTTGGTGTTATTCGTTATACTTAATATTTATTTTTGGTCGATTTTAAAATACAACCTACATAGAAATGTATAAATCAGTTTTCTAATTTAATTTTTTTATAGTTGTCCTGAATGTTTATTTCAATAGAACACTTGTGAGTGAAAATAAAAATACACCTTATATTCAGTATTGTTAGAAAGTCACAAATTTTGGGATAAAATTTAAATTTTGAAATACACAGTGGAATTCAAAATATTTGATTTAATTCAAATAAAGTAATAAAAATTATTGTAGCTTGTCAAATACATATTTTCATTTAATATCTCAAATTAGCCTTAAAGGTTTCTATATGAAAGAATCATAATACTTTTTCATGTTTAGAAATACGCATTAAAAATAAGACATATTCAGTATTAATGTGATATAAAACTGGTAAAAGCTCCTTGATCTATTCACAGTAATAAAAAAAAAAAAAAAAAAAAAAAAAAACAGTATATAATCAACCGTAACTTATTTATACATATTAATAGTTAGTTTTTGAATACTTTACATACATTAGAGCCAAAATTATTAAAATAATTATTATGAATTTTATTCTTTATTTTAGATTATTCCTGTGCACTTTATAGAGATTTACTTATACAGGGACGCTTGTATATATCACAAAACTACGTTTGTTTTCATGCCAACATTTTGGGTTGGGAAACCTGCTTAATTATCAAGTGGAAGGACGTAACATCGATAACCAAAGAAAAAACGGCGCTTGTTATACCAAACGCCATATCAATTTGTACACCAAAAGAAAAATACTTTTTTTCGTCATTCACTACGCGCGATAAAACGTTTTTAATACTCTTTCGAGTATGGCAAAATACGTTAATGAATAAACCCATGCCAGCACAGGAGATATGGCAATTAGTACACAATTATTATGGTGATGAATTAGGTCTTACGACAGATGACGAAGATTATATAGATCCAACTGTTGAGGATCGAGACGACGGCACTTCAAACATAGACTTTGTATCTGCCATAGATGATTCCAATTCATTGAGTGTTTACCAAGAGGCTATAGAAAGGTCCAATTCAAATATTTACCAAGCAATTGATAGTAGTAGCGGAAACAGTGCTTCTAATAATAATAGCGGAAATAATAGTGCCAGTAGTGGTGATTGTATAAACTCTAAAATAATGAAGTCAAATGCTAAAGAATTAACATTGATCTCAGCAAAACCAGAAGATGGTTTCGCATCAAATTCTCAAACACAGCAAACATCTGCCACAAGTGGCGGCAGCGGTAGTGGGAGCGCAGTTACCGGTAGTCATAGTGCAAATGTTTCAAAAGAATCAAAGCATAATACTTCAACTTTCGATTCAAAACGTAAAGTGTCAAAAAACAATCGACAACGAGAAGAAAACACAAATAAAAACTCAGAAACTCTACCAACCGATATATCGGATTCCAGCGATTCAGAAGAGAATAATATTCCGTAAGTAGCCAAATATATATTTATGTATTTTTAATGTTCTTTTTTCATACGAGTTTATATATATCATTTTTAGATTCGTAGCTACAGCTGAATGCAATTCCCCTCACGAAGGTCGCCAGTTGGTTCATACAATACTGCCGATCAATATAGAAACGTTGTTTAATTTATTGTTTTCTAAGTCAAAATTTTTGCTAGATTTTCATGCAATGCGAAAATCAACGGATTTGGTTTTTGGCGAATGGATAACAAATGAAGATGGCCAAAAAACACGAACTTTTAATGTGACTGTACAGTTGGCCGCTTCGGTTGGTCCAAAGACATCCAAGGCATGAATTCACACTCAAATAATATTTTGGATAACATTCGATTTAAATAAATAAATAATTAATTTTAGGTTACGGAATTTCAAGTGATGCGAGATTGCAGTAAACCTGGTGAACTTTATTCCATTGATATAAATAACGTCAATGCTGGCATTCCATATGCAGATAGTTTTAGCGTTTTAGTACATTACTGTCTGGTTAAGTAAGTTAATAGAATGTGTTTATGTTTCTATTTCGTTAAGGACTTTTCAATTGATTTGTTTTGTTCTATAATTTCAACTGAAGGACTGTAGATGATCATACAATGCTTTCGGTTCATGCCCAAATCAAATATAAGAAATCTATTTGGGGTGTTGTAAAAGGTTTCATAGAGAAAAATACTTGGGCTGGTCTCGATGATTTCTACACATCGCTATTGCATTCATTACAAAGCGAAACATGCATCCCACCGGCCAAGGGCAAAGGAAGACGTCCACGCAGGGGTAAGCATAAACCAATAAATGCTTTATGTGTTATTGCAACTTTGAGTGAAGATGGTGGTCAAACCATCACTTCTTCTGTAACAAGCGTTGATGAAAATGAATATCTGGGTAATAGTAATAAAAACATCGTTGATCCCTGTTTTTATGAAACCACAACAATTCATTGTCATTGTCGCCATCACAGTAATCACAATCACAGCCACCATTATCACCGTCATTGTCAATGTCCTCAACATAAAAAAGAAAGCGACAAAAAAGGTACAATTGGCCATTTCCATTTCTCTATTAATATGGTTCTCAAAATGTCTATGTCATGTTTCGTCATGGTCAGATTTGGAGTTTTGTTCTCTATTTTACTTTATTACATTTTTGAATTGACGTCTTAAATCGGCATCGGTTTGTATTTCTATAAATTCAAATAGAAATTTCAACCGATCTTGAATGTTGGAATACGTTTAATTCCAGAAAATAATCTTTAAATGTGACCATGCCTGAAACCGTAAAGAAAACAAATGGTATTTCGAAGTATTCATAAAAAAGTTAAAACATTAATAAATTGTATATTATTCCTAACAATACTCATTTATGTTAAAAAAAGAATTAAACTTAAGTTAAATTTAAATTTAACTTTTTAAATATTGTATAGAATTTATACAAGATTAAAAATTAAATTTCTTTTGAGGTTACTTAATGTACGAATATTTTAATACAAAAATGTAAATTTCTGTTAAACATATAAAATTAATTATTGTTTTAGGCACTGCCGCTCAAATACGTCCACTGGAAGAGATGCCTATATTGCCAATAAAACCTGAGCCAGCGGACCACAGTGGTATTGCACAAACTATTTCTACTCGCCATCCAATTGACAGTCCTGTTGTAGCAGTTGAAGCAACTACAAAATTCAGGTGGCTGTCACTGTTTGTTCTTGTTCTCTTATGTTTCCTCATAATTGTTAATGTCATATTATTGCTTAAATTATGGAAATTAGAGGAGCGCATTGATGAAGACATGTCCACTAGAGCACGTATGCCAAATTTATCGGCTCTAAAGTATGTACCACCAACACTATTGTTGTTTTTTTATTTTCTACTACAAATTAATTTTTTATTAATCTTTGATATCATTTGTAAATCGTATTATGTACTTACCTTTTTCCAGGCAATTACCTAACAATCATGAAGATTGGATTGAATTGTTGCGTCAACAGGAAATTTTACACGAAACCGAATTGAAAAAATGGCACACAGTATTGCAGACCGCAATTGAATTGTTAAAAAAGGTGAGCGTTGTTTGTCAAAATATGTTTCACAATGATGATAAACTAACTCAACAAATCGATCAAATCAGTGATGAACTTTAATTCGCAGATTATGAATGAAAAATTCAAAATAATTTCTATAGAAAACCATTTAAACTACATACAACAATTGCAATACAATCAATCAAAAGACGTAAAATCTGTCTTTTTACAGATTCGAAATTTTTAATATATTTTAATCTGCATTTGAAATTGAATTTGCAAATACATTTATATTAATTATACGAAAGTCACACTATCGCCCAGACAAATTATTAATATTTCTGTTTTTATTATAATTTTATCTTCAGTTCTCTGGCAGCACTTAAGAAGTAATTTTAAACTATTATACATTTAGAGCGCATTATAAAAATTCGTTTATAACTTTAGCTTCATATAGTGTAGCAACAGTTTCAAATTTAAAATAATATTATTGTAATTTCAAGAAAGATTTTTAATCGTTTAAATGTATTTTATAACGCGTGTCTATGAAATTTAGGACCATACATTTTTAAGGTAGTTGGTAAGTGTGCCAATCATTTTGTTCAGGAAAATTGGGTATTTTTTTGAATCTCCATTGTTTAATAACAAATATGATAAACATTTTGAAATGCAACAAAGTGAATTTTGTGGAGAACCTATCTCTCTATCTAGTAAAAATGTCTCTTTATTAAAAATCTATGTCATAATGTCATTAAATATATTGTGAAGATTAATGAGCTTACTCTGCTAATAATTTAGTTTGTCAGTGTATGTACATATATTAAAAATATCTTCCAAAAACACATACAAAACAAATAGCTGGAACCAATGAAACATTTGGAATGCTTTTGGAATAATCAAATTTGCGTTGGTTCGATTTTTCGAAAAATTGGCATAGAAACCCTTGATCGCCAATGATACGCTAATATAATGTGAAATTTTAATATTAATGTTTAATTACAAGCTTTTATTTTCTATTTTAATTTCAATTATTTTATTTTCCATCAAATTACTTGCGTTTAATCAGGTGTTCAAGTCGTTCGATTTAGGTAAACCATACATGATTTTAATATTTGCGTCTCATTGGAGATCATGTTTCGAATCATAGAACCAATGCAAATTAGAAGATTCGAAGACATTGTTTTATTGGTTAAAGCTATTTGTTTTACAGATTTTAAATGCAAAAATATTGAGATATTTTCCAGGAAATAAATTTAATGATTATATTTGTAAACATTTTTATTCATGGTTTTTGCATAAGTTGTTCCACATGTTGTCATTTCTGGCCCAATTTTAACCCACATTAAATTAGGAAACCAAATAATCGAAAAGTTAAAAACAACTTTTGAAGATTTATTTGATCTCAACTGCTTATGTTTAACTTATAAACTGGCTTTTGATTTTATATAAATTGTTTTTTTTTTTAAGTTGATCTTAACAATATATGATACTTTTGAATTAATTTTTTGTATTAAGTTATTTTGTTTTATTGATTGAAAATATGATATTAATTTGTCTAAATGAAAGATAAAAGTTCTTGACTTGAATAAATTTGATCGTACAAAAGTCCATTGCTGATTTGATGTGATTGCATATTGTATTTGTTTTTGCAATTTTCTAAAACAAAAGTGAGAATCACACAAATATAGAAAATAAATAATAAAAAAAATTTGTAAGTGTGTTGTGACGACAGACAAAATATTATTTTTAATATATAATTATTTGTTTTTTTTTTTGTTTTTTTAATTGTTTTTATTATTTTATTTTTCTTTTATATCTCTTTTATCATTTCAGACTGAAAGAACTTTGGCCGAACTTATGTTTCGCTAATATACATATTTCCACCTATAGAATAAGTTTTTAATTTTTTGTTTGCTTTTATTGGTTAATTATTTATTTTTATTTCTTTTTTTCTTTGTTTTTGCTAAACCAAACATATTTTAATAGACAAATTAGAAAATATACACCTACATATACAAATGAATAGAAATCTTTGTAATAAATGTAAAACGATCGTTTTTGTTATAAACTTTTAATAATTATAGTTTTATTAAATTTTTCCGAATTCTTCCTTTGTATAATAAAAATAAACGTGTAGGTATATTTATGTATGTATGTATATTATTTAAGTAATATTATTTTCTTCTACTTATTTCTCTTAATAATGGTGCATTTTTGTTTTGTTCTAAATTAAATTATTTATTATACATATAATGGTATACATTTCAATGTTAAATACAAAACCCATAGTAATTAGTAATTATGTGATTTATTGTTTAAATGTGTAATTAGTTGCAAGTAGAATATAGTTCTAAACTAATAATTATATTTCTTATTATGTATTAAAACTAATGTTGTTGATATATTTCTGTTTTTGTACGCTTAAGATGTTTAAGCTAGTAGTTGCAATAAACAAACATTACTAAAGAATGCCTCAGAGTTTAACATTTCTTGTCAATAGAACATTTAATTTAATACAAATTTATATTTAATTCTGTATATAATAACAATTGTTTATATTTTGAAATATTATTAACATAGTTTTACAATTGTAATTAATTACTTTTATTTTGTCTGTCTAAGCAGCACACAGATTATTATTTACTGTAAAAGATTATGAATAACAAATAATATTTTTGTATAAAATGTTTTTTTTTTTTTTTTTTTAATAAAACTATTTTTTAAAATAAGAAAAAACTAAGTAGAAATCAGATTGTTAATAACCATTGAGAAAGTCACAGTTTGAATAATAAAAATTCGAATACATAAATGTATTTTATTATCCACTATATATAATTAAAAAGAAAGGGTGTATTGTATGTCTGTTACCAATAGTATTTATCGTACAAGTAGAAATATATTGTAATTTAAGAAGGAAATTCCTTATTTCCCAATAAATAAATGTAAAAATTTAATTGTAAAGCATTTGAGAATATGTATGTATTTTATTGATAATAAATAAAAATAATTTAGTCAAAATAAAGCTTTGCAGCATCAAGTGAATAAAAATAAATTGTATTTCAAAGATAACAAAAAGGTGTTTTATTTTAAAATTGGAAAAGATTTTTTTCGAAACGAGTGTCAAACATTCCTCAACTTTAATGTGTTGTTTTTAGATAACGTGCTAGTGGATTGAGTCAATACTAGTAAAATTTCCGCTCAAACTACTCGTTTGTTATCTAGAAACAATACCTTAGTTTAATGTCTTTTTCCTCAAAATTTTAGATTTATATCCCAGCAAAAAAAGTATGGAAAAATATGTAGTATTTTCATCATCACAATTAGTAACCCGAAGTACTTCAAATTGTGGTGAAAGACCTACATATGTATTTTACATTAGCGTGTCATTGGAGGGATGTTGTTCATTTTTGACAACTTTGAACTACATCTAATCTTATTTATAGAAGCAGTAAAATTGGATGTCAAAAATAAACCACATTCTTTCAATGCCCAGCAAAAAATAATTGATGTCATACTTTACAAACTACATCATAATCACATCTAAAAATGCAATTACAAATTTTTCGCTTTTATAAACCAAATATTTCATTACAAATTAAACCCAGTTAAAAGTGAGGAATGAGATGTAGAAAAGTCACTACAAATAACATATTCGAAGTGCATCAAATTTTGGTGAAAAACTAATGAAATTTACATAAGCGTGTCATTGAAAGAATGTGGTTTACTTTTGACATACAAATATCGGTTTTTTACTGCTTATAAAAATAAGATTAGATGTCAAAAATGAACAACATCCCTCCAATGATACTCTAATGTAAAATTCATAGTTTTTTCACCCGAATTTAAATAATTTCGGGTTACTAGTTGTTTCGGCGTCTATCCGATATGGTTCATTGTAAATGCACAAAAAGAATAAAACACAAAGAATTATTAGTTTTATAAAAGGAGAAGATTTGTCTTCCTTTATTTAAATATTACCTTAAGCATGTATGCACAACAAGAAGTGCTCTTTAAGGCTTCTATATGACGAGTGTTAAACAACTACTTATTTCTAAGTATGGAGGCTAACAAAGTTTAAATACAGTTAGCGGTTTACTCGTTGAATTAGTAATAGTTTTCCATCAAAGATGTAAACTAAAGTAGTAAATCATTAGGATTTACACTTAGAGGAAAAATACCGCAAATAACCGATTTGTACTTAAACATTGCCGGCCCCCTTGCAACACTTAAGGTGTTGTAACTAAATAAATGACGAGTCATGAAGGACTCTCGTGGACTGTTTTTTCCAAATTAAAATGAGCCATGATCAGACTCCAGTTTTTTCTACTTGGGTCATTATGGACCCGTTTGAGCCATGATGAGACTCTGGTTGAGCCATGATGAGACTCTGGTTGAGCCATTAAGAGACTCTGGTTGAGCCATGATGAGACTCCGGTTGAATCACTAAGGACTCTTGCTGAATTAAAAATAATTTAGGAAAAGGTTAGTAAAGTAAATTGATATATATGTAGTGATCATTTAGGAATTCAAAACAACAAGTCTGCCATACAAAGCGATCAATAGTAAAATTACTTAAAAATTCTTCTTTCCATCTTTTACGATTCTATTAATACAGCGTTTGAGATAGACGTAAATCTCGAATTATCTATATTTTAATATTACCTCGTAAAAGGTTACAATAAGTGTTTGCACGTAGTGCCCTGTCGTAGACAAAATGAAAAAATAATGATTTACAAACATTTTAATTAGTAGCGGTTCTATTATAGATTGATAAACTAACTAGTTCCTACATCATTTGGGTTCATTACGATTCCATGTTGGAATGTAGCTATTTTTAGTTGGCCTATATCTTTCCTTCGTAGGAGATGAATTAATACTATTTACAGGACCGGTTAATATCCAACCAAATACGGTTTTTTGAGCCAATAATGATCCTAGTACTTTTTTCCTAATTCCGGGTAAAATAAGCTGGGGGTATACATCAGCTCCTAATAATAATTCCACGGGTCTGCTCCCGAAGGGATTCGAATCTGCCAAATGAAGATTTGGCAATTTGTCAGCATTAACCGAAACCGAAGGCAGATTTCCCGAAATGTTTGGCAAAACAGATGCCGAAGTGTTTAATAAAAATGATGAATCAGTACTAGAACCTATCACCAAATTACAAGTCTTCATCGAAATGGCCGAAAATTCCTCATTTACGCCTGAAAACTTCGCTGTTTCGGAAATGGTTGGAAGCTTTAAACTTTTTCTCAACTTTTCAGAAATGATAGTGCATTCTGAAGCAGGGTCAATTAATGCTCTAACTTGATACCTACAGCCATTGTGTATCAAGTCGACTGTTGCTGTACCCAAAAGAACAGAATGATTCCTACGAGTATGGAATACTTGTCGTTCAGTCATGGTGCCTGTCGTAGTAGGTCTTCCAGCTGTTGTACCTGACAAAGTGGGCAGATGGTCATTAGGAGTTGGATTAGTGGGTCGTAGAACCACACTAGAATTGTCATCTAATGAAGTAGGAGGTACATTGCTAGTCAGTGTACCCAAAGGAGTAGAATAATTTTGACTAGTATGAAATACTTGTCGTTCAACTATAGCGCCTGACGTAGTCGGTCTTTCTACCAATGCAGTTGACGTGTTAGTAGGTCGTTGGTCATTAGGAGTGTGATTGTATGGTCGTAAAACCAAAGAAGAGTTGTCATCTAATGACTCAGGAAGTGCATTTCTAGAGTTTTGCGAAGCTGAAGAATCCCGATGTAGTGAAGTATGGTGCCGCTTATTACAAATAGAACAACGATGTTCACTTAAACAATCATTAACTTCATGTGAGTTAGCTAGACAATTTATGCAGCAATGAAATTTTTTAACCGTTCTAAATCTCTCAGGAATAGACATTCTATCAAACTGACGGCAAAAACGAAGTAAATGACCCGGTTTTTTACATAAAACACAAGCATTCGTAGGACTTGTATTCAAAATATGTGTCTTTTCCTTGCGTTCAATGCCTTCCTTATCAGTATTGGAACTCTTAAGATCGCGTATGCAATCTAACGTTTGGATTCTTTCGGTCAAAAACATGTCCAAATCTTTCCATAAAGATAAGGCAGTTTTGTCCTTAACACTTTGTTCCCATAGTGTCACTGTCTGAGAGGGCAGTCTTTGTATGCAAATAAAAACGATAATTGGATCCCAATTTTGAGTGGGAATCTCATATATCGACATAGCAGTTAAAAATCCATTGATTCCGCGCTGTAACCTTTTCAAAGAGGAACTAGTCTCTTCTGTTATTGTCTCTAAACCAAACAAACACTTTAACTGATTATTAACTAGCATTCGAGGATTTTCGTATGTATCTTTTAAACTTTTCCACGCTATATCAAACCCAGCATTAGTCAACGGACATTTAGATACAATTTCTCTCGCTTCGTTATCTGTTCTTTTCACTAAATAACATAATCGTTCGATATTACTCAGCCGACTGTTATTAATATATAAAGCAGTGAAAAGATCCCTAAATGTAGGCCATGAGAGATAATCGCCGTTGAAGATGTCCGTATCACATGGCGGAAGAGGTAGATTATGACTAACATTATCAAAATTTGAATCATTGTTTGGATGATGGATGGGAAACTTTAGGCTTAGTCTTTGCTTCCAATTCATCAATCTTAATTTTTATCGACTTTGAACATCGCGCATAAACATTAAGGGTACTCTGGAATTTACTTTCAGCCACTTGA